TTATTTCAAATGTGTAAGAAGAGCCGCAATTTGAAAAAAGTTCTTAATGAAGATCTAGTAATAATTGGCAAATCTCAAAAAATATTGCATGTCTCTTACTATTTTTGACATCTTCCAATCCATTGTAGTCTAAAACTTCTTAGGATCTATTATACAACCATTATTTAAAATGATGTATCCTAAGAAGTCAACTTAAATAGTATGAAATATATACTTTTCTATCTTAATATATAATCTTACATCTCTTAATTTTTGTAATATACAATGAATATGAAATTCATGCTCTTTTGTATTTTTAAAATAGATTAAAATATTTTTTAGATAATTGATGAAAAATTCATTAAAAAAACTCACAAAAGACATTATTTATTAGATATTGAAATATAGTTGATATATTTAAAATGTCTACACTTAATTTTCAATGTAGTCTTTAATTAATTTTCTTCTTGTTGATTCTTTGATAGTCCACATACATTTGTAAAGATCTATCTTTTTTCTTCATAAATAAGATTGAAGCTCTTGTTGAAGATTTGAAATGGTGTATGAAGTTTTAGCTAAGTTCTTATCAATGTACTTGAATGCAATCAACTTGCTTTGTAATAAACTAAAAATTGGTCCAAATAGTGGTTTAATTCTATCTTAGAAATCAATTAAACAATCATAGGAACAATGCTTTAGAAGAATATCTATATTTTTCTTTTCAAAATTGTCTTGATAATCTTAATATTAGCTTGGAATACCATTGAAAGTCTTCTCTCCATCAAAAATAAGTGTGGCATTTATAACAAAAGTTGATATTTTTTTTATTATATATGAAAGTTCTTGTACCTATCAATAAAAATTTGGTTGTATTGGACTTATGGATTTTTATTCGACTAATAGAATCCTAGCCTAAACTTCAAAAAATATCAAGGTTATGTGATGTCAAGTCTATTTAAAAATTAAACTTTTCTAGCCATGATAATCTTAAAATAATTAGATAATATAGAGATCTAATGACATTGAATACTACTAAGTTACATCTGAAGAAACTATTTCATAGATAAAGGCTCTGAAGGGCAAAAAATAATCATATATAACTTTTAAATGTATGGATTTATTTTTTTTAATTAATATTTTTTGTTTTTTTAACAAAAGCTTTGTTTGTAAAACAAGTTGAGGCTCTTAAATCTAACAATGCAAAGACTTTGTGATTTTTTGGTCCTAAATAAATTTATATTGTAAAATAAGTTGAGGGATCTAAGGAAAGAGTAAGACCTTTACTATGTATTATATAAGATTATAGTTGCACATTCCTTGTTGTAGCTCAAAAAATCTATTTTTTGACACATAGTCCTCTTTGGCAACAATGTTCTTCATTTTGTGGTTGTGTTGCTTCTCTGGACAATATTGTATAGTGTGCTTAGGTTCTCTATAATATAAGCATAAACCTTCTTAATGGTATTAAGTTTTTTCTTACTCAATAAGAGATTTGAAACGTACTGTGTCAATTTACATAGGTTTTGGTCTTGATAAATAAGCTTCTATAAACTTAGAAGCTATTGCTATAGCTTGATTTATATCTCTTCAATCAAATCTTTATTCTTCGTATCTTTCAAAGAATCAATTGTTACATGCAATGGCTTGAACAATAAATTCCATTATGAGCATGTTCTTGGTATTGTTAACATTAAATCTTTGAAGTTATCTTTTAACATATATCAAAATTAATTGATAAGGACTTTATCATTCCAATCTATATCCCAAGTAAGATTTTGAAATTTTCCAACATACAAAGTAGCTGAACATGATCCTTGCCATAAAGATACAAATTTGGTCTTTGCTACCCTTTTTCAATTACTTTTTAAAAAATAATCATAAATACTTCTAAGAATAAATTTAAGGCATAGAAAAGACTTGAATCTTTTTTTATCAAAGATATAAATCAAGAAAGTATTCTAAAAATTAACTGCACCTATCAATGCAATTTGAATAAATCTATCAAGGTATTGAAAAGAATGCAACTTTAAATAGAGCTTTACTTATTGTAGAAATCCTTGAAATGTTGATCTTGTTCCATTGAACTTCTTGAGTATACTTAACTTTGCCTATTTCATAGTTGGAATAAAAAGATTTTTTAGATTTAATTGTAAGCTTGATTTATTTGCTTCTCTAAATTAGTATAGACTTTGAACTTTGTTATTGACCTCTTCTATAGGTGTCAAAATACTACCTCTATATTTGATATTAGAAATACGTGAGATTTCTACCTTTGAAGTGTTGACAAGCTTATGAAGGTTTGTAATATTTATAAATCTATTTTCACTTCTATAAAGAATAGCATCCATGTTTTTTTCTTCTTTAAAAAATTTACACAAATCTAAAAATCAAATTAGAAGAAAGTAATTTGTAACTTCTAATATCAAATGAAAGTTTCTACAAAGAGGAATATTTCACTCTCTTTAAGGAAAATAATTAGTGTAAGAAAACTAAAAGTGAGTTTAAAGGTGGGTAGTTTGCAACCTTCAAAATTCAACAATAGAAGTAGAATAATTCACTCACTTTCAATACAAAACAAGGACAATGAATTAGAACTCTTGTCAAATTATCAAGGACATGAATCTTAAAGAACTAAAAGCCTAATATACTTGTATCTCACTCAAAAAGATTAAAAAATCACTCAAAGATGGTATAATATTAAATTAAAATGGCTATTATTATAAAAAAAAAAATTAGAAAGTCTTGAAGCAAGACTAAGAACTAGAAAGGCATTGACAAGAATGAAGAAGGCTTCACCCTTGTCTCATTATATACTATCAAGTAGGAGTTACGTAAAAATATCTTATAATACCTCCAATACATGCCTAATTTGCAAGACATGTGTCTTAACTTACAAGACAAATTTTCTATATATTCACCACATTATTAACTTGTACCACAAACTACCTTCACATGCAATACATGGCTTACTTGTTGGTGAAATTTCTAACCTATCAATCAACTATAAACATGTATAAAGTCAAATACGTATTCATAAATCTTTTAAAAAGCTTTTCTATAAGATAATATCAAATCTACCTAGCATTTTTTATATAGGTAAATATGTATGTCTGTGATACTTGCCTCTGCCTTTGTTATAGTCACATCAATAGCCATCCATTGCTCGGATCACCTACATCTTCTTTCTCACACCTCCCTTCACACACTCATACTCACATGCCCTAGTTGATTTAGCATAATAAGTTTTTCATGGCCTATGCAGGTTCCTAAACAAATCTTACACTAGCTTCAACTAACAACAAATGCAAAAATATCACATGTTTCTAAATTGTTTTTAGTTTGTTAAATTTGTGAATTAGGTTATGGCTTCTCACACACAATTGCATCCACAAACTACTAATAGAAAATAATCATATCAAATACAAAATACACTACCTTCATTTCTAACATAAATAAATAAATAAATAAATAAATAAAATAAAATAAAAAACTCGTATAAAAAAAAATCAAAATAAGACTTAGTGCAGATGAAACCACAATCCAAACTCAAAATCTTGCAAAACAAGTGAAAAACGTGCACTTCAAAATCTGGTGGATTTTAATACATATGATGAAAAATGAAGCTTGAATTTAAGGTGTGGTTATAGAGTGATCATTGCAACACGACATGACATGATATGACACGATTGAAGCGGATGCAGATGTAAATGCAAAGCATGAAGATGCAAAGGAATGATACAATAGAGGAGATTTGAATTTACAAAGATCTCAAGCTTAAGTTCTACCGTATTTCAAAGCCAACAACAATAATAAACAAACTCATGATTTAATCCACTCAAACTCCATTGCCATCCTTCTTCCTTTGACATTATAGATTCCATTGGACACTCAACTTTGGAGCTTGTACTCATTGTTGCTAGAAGCATTTTACAACCTATTGATAGATGGATCACTAGAGTCAACATCACCAAGAATGTTTTTTAAGATTCAATCATTGAAAAAGACAAGATAGTTGACTTGAGAAATAGACTCTTTATTCCTACAATCAATTTTTGGCTAGATAGTTCCTACTAGAGCCCAAAATATGCAAGCAAAATCTAGGCCTTCATACTCATTGGCTTCACAAATCTTTAGACAACATGTGGTGGCATTGGTATGTGCTAAAGCACTATAGTTGTTGTGAATTGAAACTAATGTATGATTTTTGTAGGAACTTGCAATTATTATGCTAATTCAGTAAAGACGTGTGAATATGAATGTGTGAAGGAAGGTGCAAGAAGGAGAATGTAAGAGCACTAAGCAATGGACAGCTACTAGTGTGATTGTAATGGAGACAAGGACAAGAGGTTCACATGGAGCCTAGGAACTGCAAAAAAACACAAGCTTTGAGCCCAATAAAAACTATATTCTGGATATTTCGAAAAAATTCAGGAGCATGTGTGATATTTGCCCTTGAAAAAAATGCTTTCAAATCCCAGTGAACTGTATCCAAACCATGGAGTCAAATGTACAATTTCCATGCTTATCACCGCCAGTCCAATAGATCTTTGAGACCACCAAAAGCTGTCGTAGACGAGAAAGCACAACCTCAAAGCATTGCCGATCCACAAGCTGCTCCTGAACAAAAATCCCCTGCATCTCTGAGATCAGACCCATTGTGGAAATCGAAAAGAATCTAAACTAGAACATCGTAGCTGGGAGCAGGCCCGACCAATTGTGTGGCGCTGACACCTCTGAAAGTTGAGTTGGAGTTCCGATACTGGGCATCTAACAGCCAGCCATGCAGGTATACTTTACGACGGTTGAACAACATTTTGACTGGACAAGTTGCAGTACTGCATGAGAACTGAGTAGAAAGCTTCAACACGCAACTGGACTCGTTAACCACAACCACGAAGACTGGGTATAACTTGATGCACTTAAAACACCGATTTGTTCCATCAACGCCTAGATCTGGCCCTAGGCTTGGGAGTACATGACCCAAGAAGCGAACCCAACGAGGACGAAAATGCAGCAAGTAGTTCGAAAACAAGGCTGCCGGAATGCTTGATTGGACCCAAAGTTGCAAAATCTCAAATGATGGACATGTGATAGAAAACTTAAAAAATTGCGGCCTCTTTGACAAAGTTTTTGAAAACATCCAATATACGTTGGGCACTTGACAGGTGAAGTTCATGTAAATGTCGCATCATCATTTCTCCACGGCATAGTAGTCTCCAGCAAAGTAAGAGGACAAACCCTCCAGTATATCGCGATTTACGCACAGTTTGGGAAGCAAGTGGAGGTCACACTACAAAGCAGTGAGGAGAACCCTGAGTGCATCTTAGTCCTCCGAATCTGCGCCTCTCCTTTCTTCACAGGATTGAACAGCACCGCCACATGCCACCCAAGTGCTGATATAGTCTTGAACATTAGCGTTTTTACGTTTATTCCTAACAGCAAGTTCAACAAGAGGAAAAGACCAAGTTTGGAAAACATGCGAAAAAAACAGAACCGAGAGACAAACTTTATGTGCGCAACACCAGAGGTTTAACAAAATAATGAAGCCTGTTCAGTATATAGGATATTCAGGACCACACTGCCTGAGACGGCATATTCATATCAGGAAGAGGCTCCGCCTGTTTGATGGAGCATGGCATCAATCTCGTCACCATCTTCCATGTCGAGCTGCAGGGTAGAGCCGGGTCACGTTTCATAAGGAAATATACAATAAATATACGAGTAATCACTGAGCACACTACAAAAGCTGTATTGTCGAGTGTTATCGAGAACAGTTAGCTTAATTCTAAATGGAAATTCCTGAAGAACGTTGATGTCTTCAGGAATTTCAGCTGAAGAACCGTTTTAAAGGTAATGTTCTTTTTATTTCTGTTTTGGCGAATGCAAAACAAAGCTTTGAAGGGAATACCTCAGCAGGTGTCTGTTCAGCTCGAAGACGACGGCCGTCAAAGAGGAATGCAATAGAGGAAGGATCCACAGACTGGCGGTCACAGTAAGCGTTCATCAGCTTGCGCAAAGTGGCAGTGCTTTTGATCCTAAAGAACACCTCCCCTCCATCCTACAAAACACTGATTTTTCGTCAGCTCACAGAACATATTATTCTGTATATTGCATACCAACAGGCACCTTAGTTTTATCCCTTGAAAAAGCGTGCCAACCAAAGAAGACATGTGAAAAACTTCTAGGACCGCTCATGCCACAGCACACACAGGTCTACAGATTCACAAGCCTCTTAAGTCACAGACAAATGCAGTTCCCAAAGCAACCTCGCACCAACGTCCAACCACTAGTAACATCGACCATATATGCCGTGTTACCTTATATTTTGAAGTCACCTAACATTAGAACCGATACCTAAAAGAAAAGAATAGAAAAATATAAACGTGACAACAACTCCACGATGAGCTACAAAAACTGTTTCCGAATCTTTCAAACATCATCACCATTCGTTTTAACATATTTCTGTAAAAGATTAAAACACGACAAGATAGGAGACACACGCTCCACCTATGTACCGACTAAGCAAATATTTTCAGTAATCAAGATTTAATGAAGGATCATCTAGGGTTTCAAGGCGAGGAATCCAACTATAATCGACCAAAAAAAAAAAAAAAAAAAAAAACAATATTAGGGGCTATGGCATGACATCACGGAAAAGGAAGGCGTGTCGATTCGAAACCATCAATATAACCAACAAAAACAACGATTGCTTCAACTTTTTCATACACATAATCAACCCTCTGCGCTACCGAAACAAACATGGCCGCGAGCATGTGATCCCACACCCCTCAAAGACACCCTCAAACAATTACCGCCCGATGCTCACTCACACCAATTTCTAAAATCCTGACACTAACTTCTCCTTTGGCTGCGGATTTCCCAGCTACTAACCTGGCCCTTGACCTTGAGATTGATGTGCTGCCCTGCTCCGTCGAGAGGTTTCTTCTCGTCCTGATGCTGCACACCCGGGTTGCTGCTGTCCTCCACCCCCGCCATCGCACCAAACCCCTTTCTACGAAAACTCTCTGAAACAGCGAGACAGGAATTGACGGCAGGAGAGGCCAAAATATGGGTAACTGAGAACAAAGAGCAGTGATGGAGATGAAGCTGAAGAAAACAGAAGCGCAATGGAGCTGGAAACAACAGCGCAGTGTGATCGAGGAAGCCCTAAGGCACTGATACACTGGGCTTTTCCTTGCGAAAGAAGCTTGGCAAAGCTCGGCCTGGTCCCTCTCTCACTAATCCCGGACCTTCGTACCTTCGCAGGTTACTAATTATTTGGATGCAATTCGGACGATGAATGACGACGTTCCATAGATGAGATTCCATAAGCCGTCGAAAAAGTTGTTCTTCGGAAGAAAGTAATCCTCCGCTACGGGATTAGGGTTTCATATAATTTCTTTAGATTTACAACAAAATATAGAAAATAATATTTTTGAATCCTATATATTCGTAAATAATTTTTTTTAGAAACTAAATTAAAATTTGGACTAACTTCTATATATTTAAAATTTTATTTGTGATATTTTTAAGTTTTTATCCTTCAATTAATATTAAGTTTCTCAACCAATGTAATTTAATTCTAAAATTTAAAATTATTAGAAATATAATACACAAATATATGTACTCATATATATCTAAGAAAATATATTTTTTATTTATTATTATAAATCTAAAATAAAATTTATATTTAAAATAACCTTTGAAATAATTATAAATATGATATACTTTAATCTTACTATTGGTCGTTTCTCTATTAGAAGAAAAAATATAAAATCACAAATAAGAGAAAATATGCTAATGTAATTATATTTGAATCTTATTGACATTGTATTAATTATTTCTAATTTATTACATTTAATTTACTTTAAAAATATACTAATGTAATAACATCACAATCATATTACAAGATAAAATAAGTCATTAGAATTTAATATTGGTATAAATAATAGAGAGCGGTTTTTAAGGTATCACTCTTATGTTATTGAGACATCACTTCCTTTTGTTGTGTAAAGCTAGCACAACATGTTTAAAAAGGAGTTACCTTCTTTTGCAATAATCAAGGTTGGTGACCATTGACATACTTGGTCATGTATCTAAACTTAGGTTCTTTAAGGTACTTGGTTGTGTACACTAACAAATATACATATACTTTGATGTTGCAAACAAAGAGCATTCAAAGCTTGAGGATTGTGCATAAGAATATAAGGTTTATATTTGTATAGTGGGACATTTTAAACTTCATGTGAGTCATTTACAAATACTAATTATTCTATTATTATTGAGTTCTCCTTTGTAAGGCTACTAGTATTATTATTTTGACAATTCTTTTTTGAATATGTTGTACCAACTTCACACACTAAGGAAATGATGTCATACAAATACAAAAGTGATGTCTTGCTAATCTTTCTATAAATAGTATTATATCATTTAGCAAACTTAAAAACATTATTTAGAAAGATGATATTGGTTTAGAGAGCTACATGAAGATTTGCAACAATAACTTTTCAACACATAAGTGATACCAATATAGTTTTAAGGATAATGGTACACTTGGTTTGATTAGAATACATTAATATAAATAATCTTTACATAAGAATTTATAAAATTATATATATATATATATATATATATATATAGATTAAATTAAAAAATAAAGCATCACTAATGTAATTATCATTATAAGATTTTATTGGTATGTTGCCTTTGATTTAATAATAAAAACTTATATATTTTTTTTATAATTTATATTTTATGTTATAATATCATATGTTTAATTTTATATTATATAATATAATTATTTTGATTTTTTGGCTGGTAATACTAATAATGAAACTGATCCATGATTTTTAATACAAATTGTTGCTACTATTCATATTTGTAATTTTAATCAAGTTTTTATTCATACAAAATTCATCCATTGTCATATGAGTGAAAAATAAAGTCTAAAATAAAATAAATAAATAAACCACAAAGGCCTTAATTCACTTTGAAAAAATAAAAATCTCATCATACTATTGATTGTGAGATTTTATCAAGTAGCTAATAAAAAGACATAATACATTAATTGGAATAATTTTTTTGTAGGAGATAAATGTAGGAGTTAGAATTGGTAGACTAGAGGTCATGAGATCAAATTTAGTAGAATCCTAGTACTTCTTATAAGTACCAATCCTAACTTTGAGAGAAAATAACAAGAAAAATCCTAACTTCTTAAAGCACTTTTGACCCTCTAGTTTCCAATGAAGAGAACAAAAGGCAGCTAGTATTTTGGAAAAAAATTCTCCTTTTGATTGTGAAATTTTAAGAATTTAATTTTAAGAGTGTAATTTCTATAAAGTTAAAATAATAATTAGACACAAAGATTTTAGAAAATTACATCTTTAAATATAAAATGTGACAAAAAACCTAATTACTTGGTTCAATGTTCAAATATTATGTTAGTGAAGAAATATATATATATATATATATATATATACATACATACATATATTCTCATTTGTATATATATATATATATATATATATATACATATATTCTCATTTGTAGATAAATAAGACTATGATTTTCATCATCTAATTTGATAAAATTTCTTGGTAAAATTATCAAGCAAAAACAACTGAAAAGTAAAAATTCTCTTTTGTTGCCTGTTGCACAAATTACACTATGTTTTCTACACACAGTTCATGATTTCACCAGAAGTATATCCAACTTGTTTCATATTAGATCTTATTGTTATGAATGATAGAAGTTAAAATGGAGAAGGTCTACCAAATAGATATTTGATAAATATTGACTTCAAAAGTTGAAGTTTTGGTATTCTTGCGCATGACTTGCCAAACAACCTTGCAAACTCATGATCCATACTGCGGAGATAGCCGATCCGCCTGGCTTCACTCTGGAGACGAAGATCAGGAGCTCGCTACACCCATGTCAGTTTCGAGTAGACTCCGAATGAAACTAGCCTGAGCCCACCTCCGACGATGATCAATGGAGCTTCCCTTTCTTCCCTTCGAGGACGAGCAGAAGATGGAAGAGATTCGAGAATCACAAACCTGAGAATAAGCGAATGTGTGATTGAGAGAAGAATCCCTCTCCTGAAGGCTGGCATTAAGAATCTGTTCTTACAAGATGATCAGGACATGCAGATTTCCCTGCAGAAGGCTCACTGCGACATAACTCTCAAGATGTACACAATCACGATGCTCTTGATCTCTGGGTGGAAATTCATTTGCCTGGTGCTCATGCCATTCCTTATCTGTCTGATGATAGTTTGAGCGTCTGTGTCCTTGGAGGAGAGACTAGCTGTAATTGCAGTATTAATCGAACACTCATGCAATTGCTATTCTTTCAATGGTTAAAAGACCACGAAGGGTAGTAAAGGTAGCGAACATGACTGTTGGCTACAAAGAAAACACTACGCCATCCCTACAGAAAAAAGATCCATTTCATCATAGCTTCTTACTGCAGACGGATTTGAGCCAAAACCGCAGCAACTCTGTTCATCGTGCACTCGATGTTAAATCCCACCCCGACCCTCTCTATGCTCATCTTACAATACAAAATCCCGTTGAATTATTCTCCTGAAACCCTAGATTTCATTAATCCTAAGTGCTTCAGCTCCGCCTGTGCTGATTCAAAGTCCACCCTCTCCAAGTCAAACTTCACAGGCTCTGGCGGTGCATCTCCCTGCCAAGAATACAAGTCATCAGAGTCTTGTCGTAAGATGATGGAGCATAACAGGTTTAGGGCTGTTCATTGTTAACCTGAAATGAAAGCCTCGGTTTCGGAAGATGTAAAGATTACCATTTCATAGCTATCATAAGGTAGTACTGTTGGATCCAATCGCCATCCGTAAGCGCCCTCCTTGTAAACAAAAACGCTGCAAAGATATGTTGAATTAAGTTAGTAGAAATCTTATTGCGAAGAAGGATAAGACAGCTTGGAGACCACAGAGACATCATCATGAAGACAACACACTACCAGTAAACCTTCATGAGTTTCTCGCATTCGAGGAGAAAAACAAATGATGACAGATTGAAAGGACAAATAAATAAATAAACCAGCAAAGAATAAATAAACTTAGAAGGCGAAAATGGGTCACTGATACCGTTTCAAACCAGCATCTTGAGCTACATGGGCAGCCCACGAAGCACGTCTTCTTGTTCTACCTGCAAGATTCAGAGTCCACATTAGAAATAAAATGACCCACACCGTGATCTTGACAGAAGTGCGAAAAACCGTCGAAGGCGAATTTGATTAATTGAAAAGTGACACCGGAAGGAAAATCATATGGTTGAAGTGAGAGCGAGACATTGACTGAACATCAATAATACACAGATATATATATATATATATATATATATACACACATATCTAGAGAGAGAGAGCGAGAGAGAGCATAAACGAAAGGAAATGACTTACAGTGGAGGATCACAATGTCGTCGGTGCCAATCTTGGGCGCATGGTATTGCTTCTCGTATGCGGCGGCATCTTTTGCCATAGCTTTTGGCCACTCCTCCACTGCGAAGCCACGACCATTCAAGTCAAACCCTCGTTGCATGACCATCGATGTTATGGGGGCCAACTTCTATGACTTAACTGAAGATTTTATTCGACAGCCCAAATCCACAGCAGGACATTTAAAAATGCTGTAGTGGTCACACATTGGAAACTAAATAGCAGGGTAAACCACATTCATACCTCGAATGTGCAGAGACCCCTTAATATGACCATAAAGAGCTCGTTCATCGTGTCTGCGCAGGTCAATCAACCACGGCGTGTGTGCTCCCACGTCCTTTTCATCTACCAAAGTCTCCTTGTTCTGGAGCAACAGAGCAACCGCATCCCTGCCGCATGGATAACAGTAATATCAGATGATGACATACAGAAATAGAAATATGTGTACAGTAAGAGTGCTATAAGAAAGATATTACTTGTAAATGTGGAGACTTTTTTATTGAATTTCTTGGAAGTCTGCGGATCAAATACCTGCTCATGAAATTCAAGCTTTCTCCATTAGGGGGAGAGCTTGCACGCAATGCCTGAATACCGCCCTTCAATATACAACATCTGCACTCCTCATCAATTCCACACGAAGAAAGGATTAATTAAATGTTCAGTAGATAATGAGCTTAACTCCACACTTTTCACGACATAGAACAATGGATCCGCAAACAAAGGCACTGTAAAAGCAACCTTTTTCTTCAACGACTAATGCAAGTGCAACGGGTATGAGCACAACAATTTAGAGACGTTGGTGTTACCCGTTGTAACCTAGGTCAGCAGCAGCTGCTGCAACGCGCTGAGCGCGCTTGCCACGAGTAGATAGAAACACCAACAAATCATCCTCCCGTCCTGGTTTTTCCGTAGAGGGAAACCTGTCCTTCCACTCAGCCGCTGAAAGTTGCAGGCAAGCTAGGACTTCGGTTTCTACATGAAGTTTTTACAGTTAGTCTCATCAGAAAGTAAGCTTCTTCATTCTGCCTGACATTTTCTATACATTCCATTTGCTGCGATCACCCGAAATAGATTTCAAACAGCTCTATTCTTCCGGAGAATTCATACCAGGAATGTTGATTACATTTTCAAAGAGCTTGGGCGTCACGCGGGCTGCGTCCGGGTGACGGACGTCAATGAGAAGGTAGGGAGTAGGGTCAAGCTCAACGAGCTTCCTCACAGCGGTGGGGCTCAAGAAAGCAAACAACGGAGGCTCCACAGGTCGATAAGGCATAATGTTCACACGTCCACTACCAAGAGCGTTATTTTGTCGACGCCGCGCTAGGACACTACGCAGCTGACGAATCCCCCAAGCGCAAAGTGCTATCTGATTGCAAGGGATGTACATTAGCCACTACTTCAAAATAAACCGCATTCAGCAGCCTCAAATCCGACACATACAAGATGCCTTCAGCCACGATTCTGGAGCGACGAACTCGTCACCACACATTATCGTCGAGCGCAGCGGTGCATTCTTTGCAACCTTAAGGTTAAGATTCATGAAAATTCGTGAATTCCAACTTCGAAGACACTTTCCCTATCATTCAACTGATTCCAATGGCCGCGGGGCTGGGTCAAATAGCTCTCAATTTCAGTGAAATTTAATGAGCAACCCATTTCTTCAAAATCCTATCTCGTGAAGGGGGAACCCTCTAGTTAGAAAACACATTTCAGACAATGCCATTGATAATCTTCGAGATGGGAGGGTGCGTGTGACGAGCGTGAAAAATCGAAGGGGGCGTGAGAGTGAAGAGGAGGAGATAACTAGGGGAGGATCCCACCTGAAGGAGAAAGCTAAGCGAGCCTCCAACGTTCTGAATTCGCAAGCCTCCTCGCTGCGGTTGCTGTTCCTTCAGAGAGGCGGGTGGCGATGGTTCATCATCCTCCCCACTAAAAAGCTCGTCAACGTCGTGCAGGAAGAGGGCGGAGGGGAGCGCGGGCAGAGGCAGTACGTCATCAGTGTTATCAGCTAGGTCTACGTCCGCCATAGCCACATAAAGAGCAGCAAACCTTTGGGAACACAGAAACTCCTTGCCAAAACTTTACCTGATCGATTGATTTTACTTAAAAGTGTAGTTCTTCAATTTCCAGCGTCCAATCTTCGCCACCCGTAAAGTCAACTCCTCCATTCTATCCTCTCGTCTAACAAATCTCAAACTATCCAACCAAAAGTGACAACAATCTCTTTAACCTCGTTAGCCTGATCCTGCCCCTGCCCAACGAGCTATAATTCCGCATGTCGAGGTTCATTTCATTCATTGGGTGATGAAAATCCTCTTAAGAATGATTCAACTTCGGCGCTCGATGGAATTGGCTCGGCAGTAATCCCACCACTTCAAAGCAAATGCATGCTGCAGATAAACCGTTAGTGAGCTAGTGCAGCTTCATAACTTTCCACTAGAGGACTCAATTTTAACCCCGAATTTCAGTCCAGTTTTTGTTTAAAGTCCTTAGAGCAAGTAAAAGATCCGTAGCACAATAGCTCGAGGTTTCTAAGCAATTTTTAAGGCTGGAAAGGCGGAATAACTCCAATCCGCTTATTTAAAAAGATTTTTTCCTCATCCTCTCCGTTGGAATTTGCCAAACCTTGAACCCTGAAACTGTACTCACTAAGAGAGGACTTGTGAACAAATTACAAAGCCTGTATCTGATGCAAACTCCGATTACACTGCATTGTAGTTTAACAGATTTAGAATACGATAACCGTGGCTGATCATTGGAAATTCGGTGATCCCACATGAAATATCTAGCGGGCGCTGTGGTCACACGTCGAATCTGCAGGCCCGAGCAATGGTGGACCTCGACGGACAAATTTGACATGCCAATTTCGCCAACCCTAGAATCTAGACCAAAACGGCCAAAGTCTTGCACGTGCATGGAGGGAATCTATCTCCCTGCTGGATTCAATTCGAACCATGCGAATTGAAAGTTCCCACTTGAAGTTAAGAGCCCAGATGTCAGGAGGACCCGCAGTTCATGCATCTGCCATCTGGCCGTTTGTACGAGAAACTTGCCATCAGTCTTTGTTGTATGTTTGGACCGTCAGCTTGGGAGGTGCAGCAAAGAAGGGAATTGTCTGTCGACGTTTTCGCACACCGACAGATATCCTTATCGTATCAATTCAACGAAAAAATATGGTTCTGAGGGCGTGTTGATTGATCTAGACAGGCAATGGTCGAGGCTGCTAAGAAGTGCTGTGATGGCAAAACCATGTAACACACATTTTTCCTGTGCTGAACGGTTCTTTGAGGATGAGGGTCACAACACCCACACAGGAAGTCTCCGAGATCACTGTCCTTTCAATAAGTTTAGAGGTATTTTTTTATGTGTGGATGCGTGCAACACAACGCAGACACACACTCAACTCTAGAAATAGCCACTACATGGTCCTAGAAATGATGGTTGTTTCCTAGTTGGACACACCCTAAAATTCCTCGCTGCATAACCCGCAAGCTTGTAAGGAGTGTTTCTTTAACAGGAGGTTTTTACAAGGAAATTGAATCTCCTGCGTCTAAGCGCAGAATCATGTGTCTCAAGTCAACAGATATTAGTGAGATATAACCTAATTTGATGAGAATGTGTGCAATCTACAATCAAGCTGAGGCAGGAATTGAAGTGATTTTTTTTCAGCGCATGAATTTGGGTACATTGGAAGTTGCATTTTATTGGATGCGGTCAATCTCAATCTTGTGCAAAACGACCAATGGTTCCTCCCAAACATCGAAGAGATACAAAACATACGACAAGAAGCAAACGAAGGAGAAACGTCCACTAGACATAAAAGGTGCTTTACAGAGGGTCTCATAAAGTTTTTGGTTCGCGATGTCGTGACTTTTGTTCGGCATAAAAAGTGCCTGCCCTGACCATGGTTTTTCTACAACCAATCGAAGGAATGACTTGCGAGGAACACGTCATCGATGATAACCTAAGAAGCTAATAAAAAACAAAGGCTACCAGTCATGGAAGCTTCCAAGTTCAGATTGAACTTAAACTAAGCATGCAATTGGGAAGCACGAAAAAGGATGCTCCTCTTCAACAGGATTGGAAAACGTCAATCACGACACTCAACTTTCTAATAGGAAGCTTGGAGCCTTCAAAATTTTATCCATTTACATTGCGTTCCGAGTCGCGCCTGATTCGACCACATTTACTGTATGCATTTTCGTGCTGACCATTTGAAGCCAGCCGCATGGGAACACTGCCGCGAAAAATGGAGTCAACAGCAGAATGTTACGGTCGCCTCGACATCCGAGAGATTAATTGCATGGAGCCTAGACTGTAGAAACTAGTGAAGTGGAACAACGATTTCGCGGATGGGTTCACCTAGACGTGGGCCGATACGTTAGTATTCCATGCTCCTGCCCACTTGTGAGCATGGAAAATGACGCACTGTTCTCGCCGCATACGCAACAACAGCAACCCCACCAATCAGCTCGCATCGACCCTATGTCTCCATGGCAATGTCGCAGCAGCGTGACAGGCGAGCTCGTGTTTTATTTAGTAAGAAACTGCTAATCAATGCGGAGATCCAAATTTAGGGACGTATCTCCGAGTTGTGGGAGTCCACGGGCAAGTAGAGAATTTTCCGCAGCAGTGTTGAAATATCTTCACGTAATAAGGGCCTCGACGTCATCCTCATCCTGTCCATTCAACTGGAGTTTCCGGCACGTGGCTCAAGAGTTGCAGATCATGTTGCTTCAATGTCCTCTGATTGATGCAATTGCTCGTCATGTGAAGGCATCCTCAACCCTGCAAGCAGAACAGTGCGTTCACCGCCAAATATCTGAACAGTGCAGTACCCAGATCCTCCATCGCATGCCTACGCTTGCAACTGTTCATGGGTCATGCCCCTCACTCATGTTGAAGCGAACGAGAAGCTTTTCTGAATAATTATGGTGCATGAGATTAAACGAAACAAACTAAATGGATGCGCACAAGGAAAAGAAGAGGGCACAAATCTGATGCTGAATGACCATGGACTTGGACGGACAATACGAGGGCATTAACAACAAGGTTTCATCACGCTTGTCTGTCACAGATTGATAGACAGGCTGGTCGAATAAAATATCATAGGCACGTGTTCTATTTTAGTGCAGTGTTTCTCTGACAAATCATGTTCAGTCAACTGGATCATTCCAACCCCCTCCTGAGGTGGCAAGGGGATAAAGACGCAGCAGAATTTTTATTGCGGATAATGACGAGAGAGGAAGTGGAAGCTACAATTTAATCGCAGCAGGTTTTTAGGCAAACGGGATGAGTCATCCATTCAGCGAGCAATCGCTTCGTGAGTGGAGTTTCACGAGACGGCAGCTCTACCCCAAGCACCTTGGCCAGCATTTCACCTATTCTTTATCCGTTGGCAACGACGATCACATTCGTCGCAACTTGCACCACTGACATGGTGAACATGATACGAATCCTGTTTTCGTCAGCTGCTTCAAACAATTACCTACATCACAAGATCTTGAAGAAGCCGAAGAATCCTCAAAACCAATCCTCTCAGGGAGCTGAAGTTAACTTCGACAAGAATCCGTCCTAAACAGCCCAGTTGCTGTCGGAATAATCTTTCCTCAGTACAAGCTCATCTCCTCAGAAGGTGTGCGACCTCGCCAAGTAGTGGACACAGGTATGCCGACACACACAGATCCTCGAGGAAGAATCAGAAACAAATCGGCATCAAGGTTAACAGTTCAAACGCACTACAGTGATGTAAGGTTCGCAAAAATCAACATAAAACATCCAAAATGTTTCGCACCCAAAGTAGAGGGTTCCAAAGTTGCCGTCTAAAACCAGGGAATCGCAACTATTTCACAATTTGTGAAATATGTGAAAATGTGACCATGTGAAGCAAATGATTTAAATTTTATGAACAAACACTACGGAGTAATCAAATTGTTCAATTTAAATTGCCAAAGATCTTCAAGTGAATTGGTTTGATGTGTGAAGCTCATTAAGCAATCCCAGTTGCTAGTTACAACTGATCACCATTTAACAACTCAGGAGATATTATCGAAGGAAACTCCTTCACCTACAACAAATCTCGGACATAAACCCCCATCCCCGTGCATGGCGCTGGTGCCACAAAGGGGTGCCAAGTTATCACTTTCCACATTCTCATAACCTCGAATATCCTTTCACTTCCTCGACGGGTTTTCTGTGTACGCCCTCCAGGACCTGACTTTGCTCGCTCCATTCACCGAAACTCTGAACCCAAACCCTAAAACCCTAAAACCCCAGATTCTCAATCCTTGCAGTGCTGCACTGCTCAGATACTCTACAGACCTTGCCAAACTAAGATCCGAAGTGTAAGCTGGCAGCTCTAACGTAGACATGACCTAAGACTCTTATGGAAGCATGCAAGCCATGCAGAGGGTTCTTCTCAGCAATGTAGGGATATGTGATTACTATGGCGATATCAGTAGGTGATCGATGAATAACACACTGGCAAGGCGTAAACACGGAACCCATCACCCCACCGAGCTCCATTTCCTTGTCCGAGCGAGCTGACGTCCAGGTTTTGCCACAAACACGTGTGCATTTCCCAAAATTGTGTTCTTTCCATGGTTTCTTGTTGGTGAAATGTTAATTTAAGACCGCCCAATACCATCTACGGTGCTTAAATCAGCGAATGGCAGAAACTCGCTAATCGAAGAGCTACCACGCTGGAGCACACTCTGTCAACCTTGAACCCCACCGTTGGCCACTAGGAGTTGTGTGCCCATCTGCCTGATTGACGCGTAACGCGTCATTCAAATATGGAGTATGATGTAAGCGTCCGACACATATGGCCATCGCTATCGTCACTCTTAATTTTATCCAAATTACGAACATACTGAGTTGTACTCCAGAGGCCATCTGCAGAAGATTATGAGTATTTCATACTGACAAGCCGAAGGATGACTTCCGCTTCCAACTGCAGTCCCCTGACAAGCTCTTCAGCCACTTGAAGGAAACGACACAGCTTTCAACATGGCCAACTCTCCAAGGTCAATCTGGTCTAGGTTCCATTCACAATTAGATTAAGACCTCGGGTGGATAGGAATCTGCGCCTCAAGCTTGCACGAAAAGGCGGTGACCGAAACACTAAGGGTCCATTACAACCTTAGCCATGGCAGGAGCCAGCACAAGAGACAGAATTGAACAGCCTGCGCAGTTTTAGACAGGGATGGCGAAGAGAAGGGATCGGGAGAGATAGCCAGCCCATTATGAAAGCAGAAAGATCCGTTTATTTAAGGACAAGTGCGCACCGCACCCAAATGCACATCTGAATCGCTCGGGTATACATCTTTCACTACACATCAGCAGTTTCAAACAGCGAATTAATAGCTTAGTGAGAGACCAGCAGAAGTTGAGGGTTGAAACCGATCATCTAATTTGAAAGGTGCAACAGAAGCTCCCAATCACTGCCTGGATGAGGAAGAAGAAAACAGATCGAGATACAGACTCATGGGCTCAGTATCGGGTCATCCTCTTTGACAACTTTGGTCTCTAGATTATAAAATAATGGGAAGGTACAGGTCCCGGAAGAATATATTAACAAAAGGGACTTGTTTCTTCGATCTGGAGAACATTTTTCACTCCTGCATCACAAACATCAAACCCCCAAACATACATACTACCCGCGGTTCCGTCTTCCAATCTGAAAACTTCAGACGGAACAGACATAGCACTGTGCTCGCCTTGGTGGCTCCAGTGAATCCCTACCCGGCATGTAAAAGCTGCAATCTCATCCATTATTTGGGCACCATCACAAACGAGCGACACGTCGCCTGCAAGTCGGAGAGACGCAGGCGAGTCTTCATGATCCGCGCCACTGCCCACTGTGGACGCTAGCCAGGAGAGTTTGGGTTGCCCTACCAACCTCTTGTAAGCAGTATTCACCCACTTGACACGAAACTTTAAATCTGTGACAACATAAGGCATATCCCCTTTGTCTAGACGTTCTTGAACATCCTGGAATGTCTCCGTCAGAGGAACAGAATGCCGGTCGAACGAGACGATAGTTTGCACGGTGATGGTTGACCCGACAGCTCTCACAGGCTGTGGAGCAATTACTTTGGCTTGAACCTCCGAGATACTGGATGACCCGTGAGTACCTCCTTCCGGTAGAATGAATTTCTTTAAAAAGCCCCATAGAATTGCTTTGCACTTGGGAGCTGGAAATGGCGGCTGAAATGTCAGGACAGATAGCTTTGTGGGAATTCCCAATGGGTCTATGTGTGGTCCAATTGCCTGACGCAACAAGAGAAAAATTAGAGAAGCCCTGATGCAAGATCATAGAAAAGAAAATACCATTCACTGAAAGCCTCATTTAATTACCAATGGGTGGAAACACTTTCAACAATAGACTAAACCTCTAAGTTAGGTCAAGAATATGTTCAGACACCAGGAAGTGACATCCAAAGGGACATGGACTCGAGTGGATGAGCACACCTGCGTTCGGCTGCTGCTATTCCTTTCATTGGACAATCTCTTGAACGCCGAGTTCACCCACAAGACCCTCTCCCCTTCGTCAGTGAGCATTACTGCCTCGGAGGATCCGCCGTGCCGCTGCTCCAAGTAATGTGTGTCCACCACTCGCATTCCACCATCTCCTTGAGATGATTCTACCGCCCGGTCCAGAAGCATCCGAGCTACTGGGGAGGCAAATCTCTTGGGAGGGCTCACTCTTAGGCTCGTGTTCGTGTCTTCCTCCGACCACCGTCCTTTGCTCGACATGGTCAGACTAGTGTTCAAATCACTGCTCGTGGTTGCTTCCTTCCCGGAAGACCATCGAATGTCCGAGCGTAGAAGAGAGAGGGTCGAACTCGAAGATGTTGAGCGTGTGTTCACACATGAGGGGGTATCTGGAAGAAGGGATAGGGTTACGATGTTCGATTTCTGGTTTTCCGCAACATGCTCAGCCGAGCATACTTCGCTGTCTGCACCGAAGCTGGTGGAATGGGAAGGACAACGAAAGAAGGGCTCCCTTCCCCCACAAGTGTTGGGAAAATCTGCAGAAAACAGCGATGCTAAGTTGCCCTCGGCATATCCTTCGCGAGCATCCGCCGCCCGCCCCATAAATCTCAAATCCTTCTCAAATGTCACAGGGCGAGAGGTACCGATGTTGAAGCTCAAACCCTCTCTACCATACCTCGAGGTGGTGCAATTTAGGTTGTTGAAGTTCGTAGTCTGTTCGTAATAAGAATCTCGGGGTGGAGATTTCGCAGACAAAGACAACGACACCGAGACTCCGCCCTGAGGATGATCGAAGCTTTCCTTGAAACGTTGCATTCCTCCAGGACCGAACACGGGCGCAACCCGATCACTAAAAATGGGGGTGAGATTGAAGCTCGGAGTCTGGAATTCCACGTTTCCATCTGCACCTCCAAACTTCCTTGTCATTGATCCCGAACTCGTTCCGTGGCTTCGGGCTTTTTTTGCCGTGCGAGGAGACTTCGAGGTGTCCGGTGGGCGCTTGCCTCTCCGCTTGCCAGTCGATTTGCTTTTGTCGGCCGATAGCGAGGATAGCGAATGAGAATCAGCTTGATCAGTACCTTCGGACTTGGGCGTAGGTTTTGGCGCTATGGGTCGATACCTCGACATTATGTGGTTAGTCTTAGAGGGAAACATGGGGATGCCCGGTTGTATTACCAGCGTGCACCCTCCTTGATCTGCCGGTACCAGTCCTCGTGTTTCATCGAAAAACAAACAAACAACTGTCTCCCTTCATGATAACATATGATACAGGAATGATCTTCGCTCGCTAACAAGCGAGCAACGCACAATGTTGAAGTATCGACAGATTTCAAACGCAGAGATCTTGCAGAAAGCTACCACAGCGGCCACTACCCAATTGCTCAGCCTCCTATGCCTACACTTGCGCAATTACTACAGTCCGCATTTGACCCACATCTCAAGAACGCTCATAAGCACATCCCGATGACACTAAACACCAGGAGCACCCGAACTCATCCGCCCACCCCTTAGAGTCCGTGTCGCAACCTCCAACCTTTCCACCACGGCACATCGTGCACGCCCGAAACAGTCATAAAAACACAACCCCGCCCACTGCGTCGCCCGAAGCTTCCACCTCCCGCCTCCCGCACCAGCACCACCTCCCCCCAGGATACTAACCACACCCGTCTACACCATTTGTCCATAAAAAGCCACAAATGTCCACCCCTCTCACCTCTCTAAATATTCACACACAGCTCCCACAGACACTATCCGCAGGCTCACAGAGTGCCTCCACAACAAGCCCACTCGACGAGAGCGCACAGACGAGCAGGTGGCGCAATATGAATACCCTTAGAACTAGGCACTCCTTTCCCTACCACCCCACGAAACCCTTACAAATCCGAAGATTCCATTTCTGTCGATGAGCTCTCTCTACCAGGACGCGCAAAAGCACGGGACATGACGAGACGAGAGGAAATGGGTTAGAGAAAGGACAGCAGCAGCAGGCAAGGAATTAAAACCTAGCCTACTAAACCCAAACCATTCACCATCATCACCATCGTCATGGAAACCCCTACATACGCTCGTCATTCGCGCTCGCAAGTTGAAATTTTCTGGTGTATATCATAGGCGTATTAGGACCGTATGTGGGAGGTACAATGGCGGAGCAAGAGGAGATCTCGTGGGTTACGTGGGCCAATTGCGGCTGCGACGCACAGTTGGAGCCTGGCAGAATGCCGGAAATTAATTCGGTAAATGAACTGGATGGCTGCCGTGGTACACCCACGTTGCCTGCGCCTATCGTTGCCCCTGATGCTACCGAGACTTGTTGCTAATCTAGCGTTGTTTCGAAGCTTTTAATCCTTTCTGCCCGCCCTTTCTGCGTCTCTCTTCCTGTCCTGTCTAGTTCCTACTTACTGTGTTTCCCATCCCCCGCTCACACACACACTCACTCTCTCTCTCTCTCATACAGGAGCGTCTCATGACAATCATATAGAACTCATAGGGTAATGGACTCTGTGTGACCGAGTGAGGAAGCGAGGATTATGGTTTTTGAACTCTGGATTGGCATCTGAGATCGTTTGTGGCGATGCCAGTGGGGCGAGAGAGGCGTGGGATGGATCGAAGCGTTCGATTCATCCACGTAATCTTGGCCCTTGAAGGTGAACTGCGTTGAGGTGGCGTTTATCTAGGGCACTATTTAATCTAAACGCCACTGAGATTTCAAGCGGGTTAGTTTTGGCTTTAATTAGGAATCTGGATGAAGCGGAAGGAGGTCTCAGCGGAAGCTACTTTGCGTTGCGTCATGATTGGAAAATTATACAAGTGTGAGTAACTGTCTGATGAACAGTGCTTCGAAGTCGTGTTGTCCAGTTCGTGGGTTCCAGAGCCGAGGATGCGAGGTTGTCTTTGATTAAGAGGATTAGACAATTAGGTCTTTCACGCGAATTGAACTTAACCTCAGTGAAGACTTTGGTGGAAGTTTTTTTGGAGTTGTGGGCTTCACAGAGGCAGGGTCTTTAGGAAAGTGATTTGAATTTGAAACTAGGGGAGTACATTGAGTTTTGATTGTTTCGTGGGCCCTGGACTTGTCGCTGTTGAATCGTTCAGATTTTTCGTCAATGTAGGAGTGGATTGCGTCATTGATCAGCCTGTTCTTGATAAGCCTAATTTCTGAGGAATGTTTCTTGCAGAGGGGTTTGACGCATTGTTTATCGTGGGTCTCTCATGTTTCAAGCATTCGCAAGCATTTTGGGTCTGGTTGCAAAACTTGGAGGAGTATGGATGGAATGTCTTTGTACATTCAAGGTGAAAGCCACCTCTCTTTTAGCTGGCTTCGTCACATACTGGTTTTAGCTAATCGGGCCTCTGTAGTTTGTCAATTTCCCAAGTTGTCTCAACAATGCCGGTTGTTTAACAGTTTTCATCTCTTCTCGATGATAAGTTTCCGTACTTGGCTGCAGAAAATGTCGCATCACTGAGTCTTTTGGGGAAATATTAAGTGTAAACTAGCCATGTGTGGGCATTGAATGTCAACCGTTTGTTGACTTACCTGTGGACCCCGTATCATGAATGAATAGAGACTTCCGAGCTGTTTCAATTGAAATCATAGGGCTTATAGTGTTGAGCTCAACGTATTTTCTGTCAGGTTAGGATTTTCGTCACAACTGACCTTGCTATTTGAGATCAGTAAGTGTAACCTGAGCACCCATGGAGACTGCAACCAGCGGTGAGGAGATAATGTGCCGAATCTTGCAGCTGGGGAAAGGTACATTATAATATGAAATACATCCAGAAGAATATTATGAGCGAGTTGCAACTGGAATAATTGCATGGCTTGTGTAGCATGTATGTGGGCTTCATTTTCCAGTCCGATTTCAATCTGCGTGTCCAGTACATGTCAAGCTTTGGTGATTGTACCAGTACCCTGTTGAGAAACTCATGCTCATAAGCATTTTTGGTAAATAGGGGGGGAGGGGGAAGCTGATATTTTTTGCTTCTCAATAGGTGGGTCGTTTCCTAAGTTTACAGTCAACATTACCATTATTTTGATACCTTTAGATTCAACACACACTTATATATATATAATTAAATAATAAATCAATTTTTATGTAACATCATTGAATATGGTCTTGCTCTGGTACATGTGATGGAGAGTTGTAGTGATGATATTGGATTAGAAGTGGAGTGTTTTGGTGAGTCTTACCTCACTATTTAGTCTTGTTTATTGAGGGAAACAATTTTATGACAATTACCTACACTTTGCACATATATTGGCACCACAATATTTCTTTTAGAATAGTTAAGATTTGGTTGCTTACTTGTACATTGAGATTTGTCACAATTACAACAATATGCCAAGGTATCTTAATGGCAAAGACATGAATTTCGAAGAAAAAAAATCCTCAATACACTCTTTTATCATTGAAGAGAATTAAAAAGTCACTCAAAAAGTGATGCAATATTAACTAGAATGGCTATTGCCAAAAATAAGAAGACTGGAAAGTCTTGAAACAAGACTAAGACTAGAAAGGCGTTCACAAGAGTGAAGAAGGCTTCACTCTTGCCTCCATATATACTATCTAACTAAAAATTACGTTGCGATGTCTTATAGGACCTCCAACATGTGTTGACTTTGTTAGCCACATGTCTTATCTTGCAAAGCAAGTTATCTATGTATGCGCCATGTAATTGACTTGTTCTACAAGCTACTACACGGAGATAACTTGTTTTCCAAGCTATTAATACATAGTTAGCTTTTTGGCCAAGTTTCTATCCTTTTAATACATCTAAAATCAAAACCGAGTCTATGAAGCTTCTACGAAGCTATTCTAAAAGACTTTATGAAATTATTCTATATTTACTTACTTCTACTTGATCATATAAGTTACTATTGATATAAATGTATATATCTGTGACATTACCCCTTCTTCTATGAACGAGTTCCACGAAGAGCGCTCTTCATATGTTGAGGAAGTCCAAGATGCGGCAAATTGTATTTGCTACATACTCCGATCTTTACTCTCTTCGAAGATGGTTGATAGGTCCTCTCAACCATCTATAGTGTCCCATACCAAGGCGAGAAGACCACCTTGTTATTTGGTAATTGTTGAAGCCTTCATAACTTCCTTCAAATAAAATATTTAGAATACTGTCAATAATTGTTCCTACCTCTAATAAAATCACTAAATATTGGGAGTACCAAACATGTTTTATCTCGCCATCTATTCGAGGAAGGACATGTCATTCTTCAAGATCTTCATCTTGATTCCATCATCTTGAAGGTTGTGACAATCGCAATGTCTCATCTGATAAGTCTGCAAATGAAAGCTCTTGAGTTGAATCTGTTGGTTGTTGGTGTTCCATCTTATCACAAATACACAGAAGCTTTAATGAAAGATAGAAGGTAGAATATTATTTTTCTTTGATCTTGTTTCTTTTATAAGAAAAATTTGCTATTCTTCATCTTAGTTTTAATGGATGTCGTTGATGAAAGACTTCAACTTTCTTTGCTACATTTGCAAGATTCTTTGATGGCTTCCATGTACGTTCACTAATATCATATCTGCACCAATGAAAAAGATATTCCAATCTATTTTGGCTCTACCTTGAGTCTAAGACTTCTTCCACCTCAAACTTTTGGTTATTATCCACTTCTATAGCATGAGGTGGCATTTTTCTTCTTTCCAAGATATTCATTGTCTTATACGACTCCAGAAGAGACATATGAAATATAGGGTGGATCTACATAGACTCCAGTAGATGTAATTGATAAGCAACATGATTGATTTGTTCACAAATAAAAAAAGGTCTCAGCTTATAATAATCTAATTTATCACAAGGACGAGTAGTCTTGATATTATAAGAAAATAACCATACCTTGTCATCTATATTATATTATGGTTGCTCCTTGCAATAGGCATCCGAGTTGGTCTTTTGTCATTCTTGAACTTCCTTTAACTGTATTTTTATTATTGTATGTAGCTATGACAAGCGATTTGTTAAATCTTCCGTTGCATGATGATCAACTTTTGAAGAGTCAAAAGTATCAAGACGTGGATGATAATTATAATTGGCAAAGAAAGGTGTTTATTGAGCGGAAGAATGTACCAAATTATTATATACAAACTCTGCCAATGGTAAAAGAGTTGTCTAATCATCTTGATGATAATTGATGGTAAATCTCAAATATTGCTCCAAAACTTCATTTATCCATTCTATTTGTCCATCAATTTGAAGATAAAAATCTAAAGAAAGCTTTATATCTACCTTTAAAATCTTAAAGAGGATTCTCCAAAATCTTCATACAAATTCAGTCCCTCTATCCGATATAATATCCTTTGGCTATCCATGATAGTGATAAATATTGTCAATGAAAAGCTTAGCTGTTTCTTCACCTATGATAGATTTTGTACATGGTACAAAATATGCCATCTTAGTAAAAAGATCTACTATCACGAATATAGAGTCATAAGAATTTGAGATTAGAAGATCCATGATGGAATCCATAGAAACAGAAGATCATAGTTTTTCTAGAATGGATAACGGTTGAAGAAGTCCGTAAGGTCGATGACAAGGAGTTTTTGATCTTGAGCAAACATCACAAGATTGTACAAAATCTTTGACTGCCTTCCACATTTGCGACCACCCAAAATCCCTGGATATTAATTCCAAAGTTTTATTGTACCCAAAATGTCTTGCTACTGGAAAGTCATGACGAGCTTGAAGAACATATATTTGAGCTTCATCTTTTGGAACATATAGGCATCCTTTGAAATATAATAGATTATTCTTGAATTCAAACTTGGAAGTATTATAGGACTTAGAGGAAGTATCCTTGATATCTTGAACAAGAGAATTAGAGAACATGCTTGATTGAATTTTCTTCACAAATGTTGAATCAATAGTTAATGTTGATTTTATAGCTCGAAGATGAAAATACTTGGGCTTCAAGAGAATTGATCTTTGTTAATCAAAAGATGCATCTCCTTTTTTTGGTACAAAATAAGAACATCTAGAAAGAGCATCTGATAGACCTTGTTGTTTTTAGGATCGATAAGTGATCTTAAAATTGAATCTAGATAAAGACATGCTCCAATGGGCTTGGGGTTGATTCAAGACATATGTTGACATGAAGTACTCGAGGTTTTTATGGTCTATATATATAATAACTGGACTTGAGGTGCTTTCTAGCTAATGATCCCATTCTTGAAATGAATCCACGATTGCAAGGAGCTCTTTGTCATGGATTTCATGATTAATCTCGACTGCTAAAAATTTCCTCAAATGGAAAGCTATTGGATGGAGTTTGTCATTTGTTCCCATTTGTAACAACACGACACCTATAGTAAAATTTGATGCATCTGTTTCTATAAAAAATGCCTTGGAGAAGTCAATGCAATATAAGATTGGTACAAAAATAAATTCCTTCTTTAAAGCATCAAATGATACTTCTGCTTCTTTATTCTACTTAAGTTTGTCTTTATAAGTCAAATGTGTAAGTGGAGCTGCAACTTGAAAAAAACTCTTAATGAAGATTTGATATTAATTAGCAAAGCCTAAAAAGCATTATACATCTCATATTGTTCTTCGAAACTTCTAATCTATGATAGTTTGAACCTTCTTGGGATCCATCATAAGGCCTTCGTTAGAAATGATGTACCCTAAAAAATCAACTTGAATAGTGTCAAATACACACTTCTCTAACTTGGCATATAATCTTGCATCTTTAAGTTTTTGTAATATGCGATAAACATAAAGCTCATGTTTTTCTGTGTTCTTGGAGTAGATTAGAATGTCATCTAAATAGCAAACAATAAAATCATCAAAAAACTCACAAAAAACATTATTCATAAGATATTGAAAAGTGGCCAATGCATTTGTGAGTCCAAAAGGCATGACATTATATTCAAAATGTCCATATCTAGTTTGAAAAACAATCTTCTATTCATCTACTTCTTTGATACAAATTAAGTTGTATGCTCCTCGTAGATCTATTTTGGTATAGATCTTTGTTTGATTGAGTTGATTAAGAAGTCCTGAAATCAAAGGCAAAGGATACCTATTTTTGATGGTGATCTTGTTGAATCCTCGATAATCCACATATATTTGTAGATATTCATCTTTCTTCTTTACAAATAAGATAAGAGTTCCGACTGGAGATTTAGAATGGCATATGAAGTTCTTTGCCAAATTCTCATCAATGTACTCCTTTAATGCAGCTAATATATTCTGTGATAAGCTATAGATTGGTCTGAATGGTGGTTGAGCTCCTTCTTACAAATCAATTGAAATATCATAAGGTCAATGCTCGAGGAGAATATCTACATTCTTCTTTTCAAAAACATCTTGGAATTCTTGATATTGATTAGGAATACCACTTGATGTTGTTTCACCATTAGAAATGGATGTAGTATAAAAAGCAAAAGATGATCCTTCTTTTGTAGCATGCATGAAAGCTTTTGCACCTACAAGTAAAAGTTTGGATGCACTGGACTTACGTAATTCTACTTTAGTAACACGATCTTGGATTATACTATCAATAAAGTTAATATTACGAGAAATCCAATCTATTTGAAGGTTATATTTTTCTAGCCATGATAATCCTAAAATAACTAGATTAGAGAGAGATTTTATTACATTAAATACTACTACACTGTTATAATCTTTAATTGCTACATCTAAAGGAATAGTTTCATGAGTAACATTTTCAGAATACAACAAACAACCATCTATGACTTCTACATGTACGGATTTAATTTTCTTCACTAAAGGTATTTTTTGATTTTTGACAAAATCTTTATCTATAAAAC